ATCCCTCCCACGCCTTCTATAACATCAGTTGTTTTAAAGCAACACTGTCATGCCAGACTTACCTTTCCCTAATCGCTTCTTCTTCTGTCCCTTTCTCATGATCTGTTCTTCTTTTTTTCCTATCTGATCTAGTTTTCTTTAAAACATGTCAAAGTAGGGACTACTTTGTCTTATTTTTTTTTTCTAGGCTTGACCCGATCTGACCCACTTCCTGTGGTTCAAAGAAATTTTCCCACAATACTCACCCTTCCCTCCTAATCTCGCGATGCTTCCTGTCAGTATTCCTGAAAGTCCTCTTAGACAGAACGCCGGCGAAACTAACGAATTTTGTCCTAACAGAATGAAAACAGTTTGTTCATTCATGTTAGGACGACATTCTGTACTTTTAGTTTGGTTCGAAATTTAATTTGAATGAATGAAATTCTGAGTGGTGTTGCTGCTGAAACTTGCAGCAGCTTAGTAGATAGCTCCCTAATACCTAAGGTATTAGGGAGCTACCTACTAAAAGGCTGAAAGACCAAGATTGGTCTTAGTATTAGTAAATAAGGGAAACTGCCCCTACTCACTATGCCCCGAGTAGGTACATGTATACTTAACAGTGAGCAGCCTCCCCCCTTCTCATAAATGGCCCCATGGGGGACATCTACTAACATAGTGTCCCCCTCAGCCCCCACCCATGCTCCACAAGTGGGGGCTAGTAAATTAAACAATGGACCTGTTGTCCCCACCAGGCCTCACCCATGAGCTGTGGGTGGGGGCCCTAAAATACAATGGGGGGAACCTACTGCCCCCTCCCTGGCAACCACCCATGAGCGGAGGGTGGGGGCCCTAAAAGACAATGGGGTGGGTGCCTATTGTCCCCCCCTGCACACCACCTATGAGCGGCGTGTGGGGGCCCTAAAAGACAATGGGGAGGAACCTATTGTCATCATCCTCCAGTTCCCACCCATGAGCGGCAGGTGGGGGCCCTAAAAGACAATTGGGGGGAGGAACTATTGTCCTCCCCCAACCCCTACCCATGAGCGGCAAGTGGGGGCTCTGAATGACCATTGAGAGGGAGCTATTGTCCTCCTACCTGGCCCCCTTTAGGACCCCTCCTAATAGGTCTTCCCTGCATTGTCGTTTAGAGCCCCCACCCACCGCTCCTGAGGGCCCTAAAAGACAATGGGGGTAAGGCTTTTTTTTTTTTTTTACAACAGTTTAGTAGCATTAAGAAATAGGTAATATGGGGCTTAGGGGCATTTAGAGGTGACTAGGGGCATTTAGAGGTGATTAGATGTAGTGGAGTTGGGAGGGAGGCTAAAAAAAATAAAAAACAGATGCGGCCACTACAGTGCCACTTTAGGTGTTAAACTCTGTCACATTGATCAGTGTTGCTTCAGTCCTGAGGAAGAGAGGAAAACTCTTAAAAGAGTGTCTTTTAAGTATTATGTTAGTCCAATAAAAAAGGTATCATTGCATACTGAAATACTCTTTTATTTTGTCATCCAAAAAAAAAAAAAAAAACTAGTTCATCAAGGTCATAGTTTGGCAATAGTTTTCCTTTTGAGCAAATAATAAAAATACATTAGCCTAATCATTAAATGGTTAATACTAAGTCAGGTCCCACATGTTTAGTTATACCTTTGGAGAAGAATCTCTCAGTGGAATAAAATAGGAATACTTTATAAAGCATTTGTCCTATGTCTGAATGCTGCTTCCTAAAAGTGCATCCTTAATACAACCTTTAATTTTCAGCAAGAAATATAATGATGAAGATAGGCTTTTATTTCCTTTTATTACAGCTTTTATGTATAACATATAATGCATTTCCTACTACTGCTCTTAATTCAATTTTTTTTTCTAGTTGATATTTACATTCCAATATCCAGAGACAAAATGCAAAAAAGTAAGTTCATGCTTAGCATCCTGTTTAAATTTTCCTACTTATTCTATTTTGCATTTTTCCCTCTCAAAAAAATCTGATGCATGAAGAGGACAAATTTAGTGATTAGATAAAAATAGTGATTATATTTTAATATAAGTCAACCAAGAATTTTATATGTAATAAGGAGGGAAGGGAAGGCTTGGCTTCACAAATACAGCACTTAACAGACACAGCTAAGCAAATGCACTATGTGTGCCTTGTAAAGTCAAGTTCAATAGGAATCCAATTGCACAAAAGTAGCTACGACATGGGACACAATTCAAAGAAGTCCCATAGTAATTCATGAATCTGACTTTGAATTGAGTAAAGTCAGAGCAGTTCTCTCTCTCTCTCTCTCTCTCTCTCTCTCTCTATGTATTTATTTTTTTAATAATTCCACCTACATCATCAATTAAAAACAGCATGATTTTCATCTTGTGGAACTGTCCTCCCCTATAAACAGGTGAGGACTGAATGATTTAGACATTGCCTAAAGAAAAGTTCCTGTGATATTAATAATTTATGATTGCATTATGACAATCACCCTGTCATATCACCTCCTCCCTCCACACGCACAGTCATTCACCCTGTCACATCACCATCCTCTTCCAACAACAATTACTCACACTGTCACACTTCCCCCTCCCCAAACACACCTATCAGTCAACATGTCAAATCACCACCCTCCACCACACGCAATCAGTCGCACTGTCACTTCACGCACACAGCAAGACCATAGCATGTTTGTGTGTTTGTATGCATATATTGAGTGTATATATTAGCATGTATCAAAGTGTATATATGCGTGCTTGTTTCAGTCTGTGTATGTGTTTGTGTGTATTTGTGTGTGTCAAAATTGCCAACATGGTTGTAATGTGAGTGTAGTATGGCATGGGTAATGTCATGGTAATGGGCAATATATACAATATACATAGGGACTCAGTACGGAAGATGACATCTTGTAAAGGAGATCCATTTGCTGCCTCACAAAGTCAGACTCTTTCAATCACATTGGTCATAACATTAGTTAATATTCAAAGCTCTAGCACTTGAATTACTGCACAAATATTCTCTTTAGCTGTATGCAGCTTGTTCATGTACACCTGCTCCTTTAGTGAACGTGGTGACTAATTAACTGCAAATTTCTTTAAAGTATCTGCTTACCTAACAGTTGTATCAGAAGGTCAATGGTGGCACTGGCTGTATGGGCAATAGCCCCATCCTATTGAAAACACATTTTATGCCAATTTTCCACCACGTGACATAAAAAATGATCAAACATATTCCAATATCTCACAATATTTTTACTTGTTCCTTTGTGAAATTACCCACGATCAATCTCCCAAGACTCAGTTATAATAGCACCCACATTTTTTAAACTATTAACATATAACGTATTTACCAGTAAAATCCTCCTCTGAAATTTGTCCCACCCTGTATATATACATACATACATACATACATACACAAATGAGAATTAGATGCATATTGGACAATGTATAAGTGAGACTATTAGATTTTGTGAAAAACAACTATTTGCAACTCTGTTTTACTATGGTAACTTCATTAATTGGTAATTGTTTTTTTCTTTATTTCTGTCCAGCCAAAGTTTGATTTTGTTATTTGATTTTGTTTCCATTAAATAATATGCCATATAGGCATACTCTGTAAACCGCTTTGTTTTGAAGAGATTAAAAAGCCATTGATATGTAAATTAAATGAAATATGTATACATGGATACAAGTTTGAATCCATCCAATAACATATGTGTTATCTATATTAAAGCAAGCTTGTTTAATCACCAACGTTTTTCACTAAAGTGTGAACTATCAGATATTCAAAGTAAATTTAAATTTTGAGGTCAAAATAGCTGAAACCTGATTTTGTTTTTCAAATTATTATTACAGTTAAAACTTTTTAAAAATCAATTAATTTACTTAGAATTATTGACAATTCCCACTCTCGTGTATACCTCTCTAACAATTTTACTTGTACAATGAATATTTTGTAATTTTTTTAAAAGTAATTTCTTAGAGTGAAACTCTAATATATAGTCATTTTATAGTAAAACTAATCTAAGATGCATTTATATGTCAGCTTTTGAATTTTTATGTATCATTCAAGAAAGGCTGGAAAACATAACACAAATGTTTTGAACCAGAGTTTACACTTTGTTGTTTTATATTCATTTTACAAGCTGTTTTTCAGCAATGAACATGACAAAGAGACATGACAAGGAGACTGTTGTAAGCACTGTTGAGGGAGCAAACAGAATGATTTGAATATGTAGAAAGGACGTCTAACATATTGTTAAACATGCAGGGGAAATGGCATGCTGTGTTATATAACTGGTAATTATGTTTTATCACAATTTTTAATTCAAAATGGTTTTATTAATAACACGTTTATTATTTCCATAATTAAATATTTTGTGTCCTGACTGTATATTACACTGTATATATAAATATTTATTTAAAATCTGTATATATCTTAATTTTGCTTATTTTTTATTTATTTTTTTTCTATTTCCTTCTAGTAGTTGATTAAAACATGCAGCAATATAATCAATCAGATAACCCAGGCAGATCAGTTTGAAAGAAATTTTAGAATATTTTATCTCAATAATTTTGGATTTTCCCTTAGTTGGCAATGATTCATGTTAACAACATTACTGAATTTATCCTCATTGGGTTTCCGACGCGCCCTGAGCTTCAGTTTGTTCTTTTTGTAGTCTTTCTGTTTACCTATGTTTTAACTATTTCAGAAAATATGATCATCATTGTAACAGTCAAACTTCATGCAAAGCTTCACAAGCCAATGTACTATCTCATGAGCAGTCTATCATTTTTAGAAATGTGGTATGTTACTGTCACTATACCAAATCTTCTCTCCAACTTTCTGACTCAAAACAAAAAGATATCCTTTATGGCTTGTATGATTCAACTGTACATTTTTATCTCTTTGGCCTGCACCGAATGTGTCCTTTTATTAGTTATGGCTTTTGATCGATTTGTTGCTATCTGTATACCTTTACGCTACACCACTATCATGAGCAACACACTATGTTTTCAAATGGCCATTGGGTCCTGGATTCTGGGATTTTCCACTGCTATGGTCAAGGCAATTTTTATCTTCAGACAGTCTTTTTGTGGCCCCAATGTGATCAATCATTTTTTTTGTGACATCTCCCCCTTGTTAAATCTTTCTTGCACTGACATGTCCTTTACAGAGTTGGTGGATTTTATCTTGGCAATGGTAATAATTATGATTCCGCTTGTGTTTATAATTATCACTTACATGTGCATTATTTGGACTGTTTTGAGGATCCCAAACAATCAAGGAAGGCAGAAGACATTCTCCACCTGTGCATCTCATCTTACTATTGTTATTATATTCTACACAACCACATTGTTTATCTATGCAAGGCCAAGGAAGGCAAACCCATTCGACAGCAACAAACTGGTGACTATATTTTATTCTGTTGTAACCCCACTTTTAAACCCAGTAATTTATTGTTTGAGAAACAAAGAGGTAAAAGTGGCATTGAAAAAGACGCTTAGCTGGTAGCAAAATCTTGTGTGATATTTGTCATATTACAAAACACTGCATTCTAAAATGTAGAGCTTTATCAACATGGGTTTGTCCACATAACCTACTCAAATATATGACTTAGAACAAATTGTTGCAGCAATGAATAATTAAACCAGTGTAAAATTATGCTTTAGAATAAAGTAAGACAATTTTAATAAAAAAAGTTTTAGACTGCTACATTATGTTTACATGCTATTAAGGTTGCTAAATAAAGAAAGACTAAGATTTGAATGTTTCATCAATGCAAGGTGTACATTTACAATTTCAATAACTTTTTCATTTGCATTTATGTAACCAGACAAAATGTTTGTTATAATTTTCAAATACTTGATTTTTTTTGGAGAAGTTTTTCAAATTATTTAATATTTTTGGATAAACATTTCAAATTATTTACCTACAAAAATGCCCATAGACTTTACTATGGCAACTTCTGTTTTTTCGAACGGGTTGTGATCATTTGAAAAGCGTATTCAAAAGTATTAAATCAAAACCACTGTTGTGTTCTTTTTTAAAATAAAATACACCTCTCTGAAATTGCAATGTTCATTTGAGAAAGCAGAGAAGCATGAATTCCTTAATTTTATATAGCTAATTATATTAGTGATTTGATAATGTCTAGTACAGGGAATATATATATATATATATATATATATATATATATATATAGAGAGAGAGAGAGAGAGAGAGAGAAGTAAGTGATAGATTTACTTTTTGCTTTCTATCTTAAGGTCACTAAGAGTGTATTTTTATTTTTATTTTTTTATTTCATTTAGCATTCATCATGATTTTCAATAATAATCAGCTGAGTGACATTGCACATTGTTGACTATTTAGTTGTCTAACACAATTCCCAAATCCTTCTCAAGTGTTGTTTTTCCTAATTCACTTTCATTTAGAGTGTGAATTGATTGTGCATTCTTTAACCAAAAGTGCAAATTTTGCATTTATCTACATTAAATGTCACCTGCCATTTGAGTGCCCAGTTCCTTAATCTATCTAAATCCCTCTGCAGCAAAGTAATACCCTGCTCACTTTGCATTACCTTACTTAATTGTTTGTCATCTGCAAATAATGACACATGACTTTCAATGCCTATTTCAAGATCATTTATAAATATGTTAAATACAAGTAGTCCAAAAACAGATGCCTGAGTGACACCACTTATCTCTCTTTTCTAGCTGAAAAATTTAATTATTGACAACTCCATGTACTCTACATGTATGCCAATGTGCTATCCAAGATCAATAATTTTCATTTAGACCAATTCCTTTTAGTTTGAAGTGTGAAGAAATCACGAAATTATTTTGTTTATTTTATGTATTCCATTCTGTAGCTGTAACTACCAAACAGTGACTACCCCCCTGGCTCATTAACCTTAAAGAGAACCATCATTTAAGCCTTCTCCCATCTTGTTTTTGCTAAAGGAGGCAGTGGGACATGGTGGTCGAGTGTCTGGAACTAATTTTTTTCTGCCTGGAGATAATTAAGTTATTACTTTATCAAACGTAATTATCTCCAGGTAGAGAGGAGGGGAATATATGTTTGTACTGGGAGGGTTTAAGCATTTCCCTGTATTGTGATTGGCTGCATGATGAGGAGGGGAATATATGTTTGTACTGGGAGGGTTTAAGCATTTCCCTGTATTGTGATTGGCTGCATGATTTATGTTCATGTGGGAGGTCCCAGTGTGGCATCATTAAGCTTCAGTTCTATTACACCCTTCATCTAGACTTCGGCTGATGTTTGGGTATCTGTCTGCTTTACTGGGAAAATTTACTTGGGAAGCTGTTATTTTGTATGGAGAATCGCTTACTTTATTTCCCGAATGGCGAGTTACATCACTCATACTCGGGCCGTTCGGGAGGGTATAGGATATACCAGGGTTCCTTACATGAACACTAACCTATTATGTGGAACCATAATGAACGCCTTGGCAAAATCTAAGTAGATCACATCTACTGTAACACCCTGAACAATGCTTCTACTTAGTAGAATCCAATTATGTTAGTTTGGAATGACCTGTGTTTCATAAAAGCACCTTGATTTTTGCTAAAAACAATCTTCTTCCGAATGAATTCATTAAAAGTATCCCATAATAACTTACTTCAAATGCTTTTCCAGCCACATAAGTTAAGATGACAGGTCTATAATTTCCAAGCAATAACATTACAGTTATTGTAAATCCACCAAGCAGCAGCCCATTTTTCAACAGAAACATACATTTTGGCTTAATAAAACTGTGTTAGTTTACACAATGCATGTTCATTTCTCACTTTATATTAAAGGCAGGGTCGGCGCATCCTATAAGCGACTTAGGCAGTCGCCTAGGGCACACCGGCCCTGGGGGAGCAAGATTTGAGTGACCCAGCAGGAGGGAAGCCCACAGCGCTCCCTCCTACCTGTCACTCAATATAGCGGGGCAGGCTGGCGCTGGCAGCGAACCGCGGTACAGGAGTATCTGTTTCCTGTCCCTCAGTGCTCTCCCCTCTTGTCCCTCAGTGCAGTCCCCTCATGTCTCCCCCCCCTTTAGTGGTCCTGCGTCTCTACCCCTCATGCCTCCTACCTATCTTTGTAGCATGGCTGGGCAGCGAACCGCGGTACAGGAGTATCTGTTTCATGTATCCGGCCAAACTGACAGGAAGTGACAGACTGACAGGAAGTGAGATATTTATTTTTTCACTTTTTATTTTTTTACACACTACTCGTAGGGTTGCCACCTGGCCGGTATTTATTTAAAGCTGCCTGGCCGGAGCCGATATTGCAGTATTACCGGCAATACAAATACTGGTATGTTTCTCAGAATAAACAGAGATTACTCTGCAATACCAGGACAAGCCAGGCGCTGTGTGTGTGGAGAGAGGCATTGATAGGAAGTTACAGCATATACCTGCATCTCTCTACTCACTGATCCACGGGGGAGCAGCTACACAGCACAGAGAGTCCAGACAGCAGCTCCCAGCCTGCAGAGACAGCCTACAGCTCAGGTAAGTGAGGGATGTGGCCAAGGCTGCAAGGAGAGATGGGTACACATACACTAGGGGACACTGTGAGACATGGGGACACTGAGACATTAGGGGACACTGTGAGACAGGGAGACCTCTGTGGACACTGAGACACTTGGGGACACTTGGAGACACAGGAACACAGACACACATGGGGACACTAAGATATGGGGACACTGAGACATAGGGACACTGAGACACATTGGGAATCAGGGAGAATTCTGGGGAGGCTGATACACATGGGGACACTGATACATGGGGACACTGTGAAATGGGGACACTGAGACACTAGGAGACAGTGAGACCTGGGGGCCCTGAGACACTAAAGGATGCTTGGAGACATGGGGATACAGACACTTGGGGACACAGACACACTTGGGGACACTGAGACATGGGGAAACAATCAGACATGGGGACACTGAGACATGGGGACACTGAGACACTTGGGGACACTGGGAGACATGGGGACACTGAGACACTAGGGGCACAATGCTCCCAAGTGTCTCAGTGTCCCCATGTCTCCCAGCCAGTGTCCCTGGTGTCTCAGTGTCCCCATGTCTCCCAGTGTCTCTAGTATCTGTTTGCCCATGTCTCCCAGTGCTCCTACTGTCTCAGTGTCCCCATGTGCCCCCATGTCTCCCAGTGTCTGTGTCCCCATGTCTCCCAGTGTCCCCAAGTGTCTGTGTCCCCTAGTGACATGGGGACACTAGAGGACACTGGGCAAAATGGGGACACTGGGCAACATGGGGACACAGAGACATTGAAACACTGTGATACATAGTCTCAGTGTCTCCCAGTGTCCCAAAGTCTCCCAGTATCCCCAAGTGTCTCAGTGTCCCCATGTCTCATAGTGTCCCTTAGTGACATGGGGACACTGGGAGACATGGGGACCCAGACACTAGAGGACACTGGGCAACATGGGGACACTGGGTGACATGGGGACACTGGGAGAAGAGAGAGCAATCCATCTATACAGCAGAATCAAACTATAAGTGTTTTTTTGGTGATTTCACAGAATTTTCTCTTACTCCTTGTGATTTACATCATGTGATGTCACGCATACGTAATTAGTTAGGCAAATTAATAGAGGCCTGAAGAAAGGTGGCAACCCTAACTACTCTTTACATACTCTTGCTTAAGTATGGAAACTTAAGAGGGATATATGGAAACAAAACTTGTGTGGACTAGCTGAAATGAAATTAGTTACAGTAATGATGACTTTGGTCTCTCTAACACTGTGACATATTAGTGAGACCTATATGGCTAATGGTCAAATCTTTATTATACAGACTAAATGATATTAAAATAGACGTTAGACCAGAAATGATGTTGCTGCACTTAAGATGGCCTACTTTTAACAAAAAGAAACAAGTGCTGATAATACATTGCCTTGTAGCAGCAAAACTCATAATAGCCAGAAACCGGAAGAAGACACAGGTATTCTCTAATATACAGCTCATTCAACAAGTAAAATTTCAGATACGAATGGAAATAGGCGTGAATAAAATTAGGAATCATTACAGGGATAATGACATCTGGGCTAATTGGCTAAAGCTATTGGAGCAAGACGAGATAGAATTAATAAAGGAAATATAAAAATAACAGAAGAGGTAATAAGACAGAAAAAAAGCATAGACTTGTAGAAAATACTCTCACGACTGTAATAGGACATTAGATTCTACTGCACTGGATGGTGTGTATGTTGGTAT